CTCAGTTTGTATGATCGGCGAGAAAACTTCTGTCCCTTCCCGGAGTGGGACGAAAGGTTGCTGATTGCATCCTTCTATTTGCGGTGGGTCATCATGAAATTGTACCTGTCGATACACACATGGCGCAGGTCGCAACAGAGTACTTGGCTGGGACAGCGACATGCGGCAAAAAGGTCTTATGCAACGGAATGGGCGGGAAACGAAAACGCAATTCTGAAGGGAAATCTTCCCTGACGGCAGTATCAACGGATGGATCTTGTTGGGAAAAGGTTTTGGCAGATTGGTACAGAAAAGGAAAAGAGCGCGACATGAAAATGCCGGCGCTTTTGCACAAACATCATGATGCCATTCAGCTGGGGTTTTGGCATCTTTTTGGTGATTACTGTGGTTGGGCACATAGCATTCTCTTCTACGCACGCATGCGAAGAGGGCAAAGAGACAACTGAATTTAAATTTCTATCCTACGATGCTTTGAGGTTTCTGGAGTGCGGCGTGCTACAACTCTCTTTCACCAAAATAAATAAAGGAATAAAATACATTTATTTTATTTCCCCAGAGGTAGAATGTGTGGCATGTGGCACATTCTTTGTTTCATGCGATGGGAAGGAGCATTATTTGAATAATTAATGTCTTACTTGTAGTGTATATATATATATGTCCATTGAATAAGTCCGTTGTGGTGTGGGGATGAATTTGATTTTATTTCCATTTTTTTCTTCTTATTCTCTCTTTTGCACGTCTCGATGGGGTATGGAGATGTCGTGGAGTATGTGAGGCACAAACAAAAACAAAAAAAGCATATATATTGTTGAAATGCATTGTGGTGTGGATTTTTGTGGCGGAATGAGTCTGCCTTGCCGTACGGTTGAACTTCACATCGTCAAAAGGTCATGACATGGATCGGATACACAAAGTTACAGGAGGTCCTGCTAACAAAAATGACATCGTCATTATCCTCATTAACTCCGGCGTCACGTAATGCGGTTGCGACGTGCGTATCATCCCCCGTCCAGTCAAAACGAAACATATTCCACAGTGAATGGGGTTATACGGGTTCTTGCAGGAAAGAATGAGTTCTTTTTGCTCTTAAAGGCATTTTCTCAGCTGGAGGCGCACTTTCTTGCATATTTCTCGCATCCAGTGCACATTTTTTTTTTTTTTTTTTTTTTTTGTGTGTGTGAAAACATGCTCAATGGGATGAAAATGGCGATAACGCGTTTGATACCGTCGGCACGTAGGGTAATATTTGAGGATGTGGCAAGGTTCTGGCGGGAGCTGCCGGATGGTGTGACGGAGGAAAAGTTCAATGCGTGGATGCGATCGATGCCACTGCGGAAATATCAGGGGAGAGGATATCGCATCATGTGCCGTTTCTGGGCAGGCCTTGTTTGTTTGGCAATTGTCTTCTTTAGATGCCTACGAGTATTATTGGCGGCTCGATACAGATTCTTATCTAACGAGAGATATTTCATGTGATGTATTCAAGCTGATGCAGGCAAATGACTGCGTGTATGGCTATAGACGCATTCGCGGCGAAAATCCGTGCGTTTTATGCGATCTATGGTCAACATTTTTGAGGAGGGCCAGTATGACGTTGTCTTCGGCATGGTTACAATGAGTGAAGAGTGTTGCCATAAATAATATTAAGAAAGAGTACGAAGGGAGGATGTAATACAATAAATTTGAAATTGGCGCGATGAAGTTAAAACGTCATTCGCTGTATCGTTTTATGTTTTATTTTCTGGACACGGAGGAGCCGCGTGGCTTCATGCGTTATCGTTGGGGTGATGTACCGGTACACGCACTTGGTGTGGAAGCGGTGATGCAGCGTGAATGCTGGAAGAAGTGCCAATTTGACCAAAGTTTTGCTGGATACAGACATGGGAAGCAATAGGCTATTAATATTGTATTAATTGACTCTTTATCGCTTTTATTACTAATGTTATTATTGTTGGTGTTGTTTTTTGTCGCTTTTCCTGTCTTCGGCGGCATTCAAGTGTGAATATTTTGCCGCATGCTCAAAGAGAATGTGTTAAAATGTCTCATTATGGAATGCAGGCGTTGTCCTCTTCTCACTGTGTTGGGTTATGCGGTGCATTCGCCGTGGAACTGATTGTTTTTTGTTTTTGTTTTTGTTTTTGTATGCATTCATTTACATGAATTGCCTGGTTTATTTCCCTGTTACTTTTTAATGCATTCTACTTCTGCTGTGTTCCTTTTATTTTCATTTTCTCATTTTTGCGTGCAGGGGGTATTTGGGTGGGTGGGGGAGGCATCTGTTAAGATGGGCGAGGCGTTTGAGCTTCTGCGCTTTGCGGCTCTCTCTTCTGCAGTTCATGCCGACGCTGTTGAGTGCCTTGTGGATGACACTCGCTCTGTCTTGTCGCGGATTGCCATGGATACGGAGCGGCTGGAAGCCCTCGAAGAGCAGCTTGCCGGACTGCTGGAGGAGCAGCGGCGCATTCATGCCGTCCGTGACGTGTTGAGTCGGTCGAGAAGCACGCGGAGTACGACGGAACCCACAAAAAGCGGAAAAAAACCCACAGAAATAAGATCAAAGTTGGATACGCGAAGTCCGGGGGCGTCTCCCCCTGGAGCTTCCCGGTTAGGCACCGAGAATGTTTTGCGATTTGCCTCCAGGGCCGTGCCTGAGGAAGAAGTTCCCACAATGTCACGGGCGCCGCGGCGCGAGCATGTGGCGACGATGGAAATGTTGATAGACGACTTGCGGGAGGAAAAAGCGACGGAGGGGGAGAAATGCATCGATGAGACGGTGGAGCGCGTGAAGTCAGAGATACGGTCACTGGAGAGTATGTCCGTCAAGACAAAGCTGCGTGAGTTGGAAGCATTCAAACGCCGGATAAAAGATTTGGATGCGAACGCCGTCATTGAACGGTATGTGGAGCCCTTCCGGTTTGGTGACGAGGTGGAGAGGCTTTGGGATGCCCCGGATGCCATTTTGAACAATACAAACATGGACCTGTTCATTTCCCGGGCATGCCAACGCTTCTCGGGTCGTTACGAAGACGCTCTGGGTGCCATTAGCGACTTTTCAGCATATGAAGATGGTGATGCGGCGCAGGTATTTGGTTCTTTAATGTACCTTGAAGCACTAACCTCTTCGTCCAATTACGACGCGGCTGCCGTGAGGACGCTGCAGGGCTTAAGTAAAGACTCGCTCCTGGAATACTACAGGGAGAAGAGGCGTGCCGCTACAGTTAGTACCACCGTGAGACGTAGTCGTGTGGAGACGGTTCTGGGACCGGAGGAGTTTGGATTTTTACCGGAAGATTGGTGGAGTTCGCGGGCTCTTTTTATTCCTGCAGGCATTCAGTTGCCATCGGCGCGGCACATTCTGACGGCGCGATTCTCCTTCGCCGATGCCCATGAGCTCAACACTCTTCAGTCCGTACGGGTTGATTTTCAACGGAGCGTGTTGGATGCCTTTATTCGCATGCCGAAGGCGTTAGCAGAACTTCGGGAGCAGATAGAGTTTCAATCAAGGCACGACGAAGAAAGAGATGTTAGCGCCTCTTTGCTCCGTCTTTTGGTAGAAAATGAGAAGGGTGGTGGTGGTGGTGACATTTGGACAACGATAGCGCGCTGCAGCTGAACGAGTTGACCTTTGTGTTTTATTTATTTATTATTATTATTATTATTATTATTTCCTTTGCCTTTGCTGCATGCACTGTTGTGTGATTTTTTTTTTTTTTTTTTTTGCTTTCTTCATTCTTTTTTCTTTTTTTTTTTTTCTTTTGGGTTGTGCTCCCTGCTGTTTTTTTTGTTCGTCCCCCCTGTGCAATTTCTCCCACCTTGTGCGTCTGCACACACACACGGAAGCGAACAAACACAAAAACAGTTAAGAAGTAAAAAAAATTTTTTCTGTCAAGATACACGTGGAAAGCAAGCAAATAATTAGGGAAAAAGAAAATCTAAAGGCTCACATTCATCATTGTGAGGCTTCACCGTACATATTCATTGGGAGCAGCGGGTTGGCACAGTCGATCGCACCGCAAGTTTTACAAATCAACATTCGGGCAAACTGACAACTCGGGACCTCCTTTCTTTCTTTCTTTTTTTTCTTTTTCATCTTCATTTTTTTGTTGGTTTTGTTGTTGTTGTTGTTATTATTGTTGTTTTACGTTGGAGGGAGTTTGCCACTTATTTCTGTTCTTGTAGACGGCGTTTTCTATCGGCGTTTCTGCGCGTGGTTGGTCAAACTGCAGTTTAGTATCGCCTCTCTCTACGGCTATCCCTGTGTTTGTCCCTGCGTGTGAGAATTCCACTGGAGGGTTGTGCCTCCTCTGTGGCATTTTCCCCTAAATGCCGGATGCCTCTATTCGTATTGGGCTCCTAATCCTGTGCATATTGACCCTTGGGCTCTCGTTCGGTGTGGGTAGCACGACTCTCCTATCTGTCTCCGGAGACCAGGCTCATGCGCAGGATGTTAATTTGCTGAAAAATGTGGAGACGGAAAGCGCTGGCGATGAAATTTCTGCTTCCCGTCCGGACCACAAGGAATTGGTGCCGTCTTACCGCCTCCATCCCTCAAACAGACTACTGCTGTTGCACAAGGATGGAAAGATCTCATCTTACGGGCTTGATAATGGGGTGCCAATGTGGACTGTAGATACAGGCGGAGATATGTTGCGTGTAGAGATTGAAAAGCATCCGACTGAACGAGTAATTCGTCAAGACCCTCTTGCGCTCCCTTTTCTACTGGAGGGCGGCATGCTTTTTACGAGACGTTGCGTGGCGCCATTTGGGTGCAAGAAGCAGACGCCAGAGCGTTGTTTTGACAGAAAAGGGATAGAGGTGGAAACGCGTCCCGAAGCAAGGCCTGGTGAAGCAAAAACTAGAAGCGGCTCAGGGGATTCATGTGAAATACCCTTTTCATCAACGCATCCACGATGTTTTATGAATCTTTCAACGCTAATAGAAAAGAAACATGTACAAGTTGGCGAAACGGATATATTGTTATACATCAGCGCA